CAAGTTAACCATACTATGATTGTTGTGATTGTTGTCGTTGTTGTTATTGTTATTGTTGTTATTGTTGTTGTTGTTGCCATTATTGTCATTGTTGTTCACTGGACTGGTCCTCAGTCAAGGAATTCACATTTTTCCTCACACTGGCCCATTTTTAACTGCAATATAAGATCTTACACCTCTATGGAAACAGCACAAATATGATATAATGTTCTGTTCAGCAGAACAAAGTTGTAATGCCATAAATCAAGAATCATTTAGTTTCCTAATTTATTTTGCAAAAAAAAGAAGAAGATTGGAATCAGCATGTATAGCATGTTTCCAAGTTCCCAAAGGGATTAAAAATATTTCTTTTTTTAAAGGTGGTGACTCTACATGCTATAGATATTTTTCTACTCACGTTTTTATTTGTTTCCATTCTTGTCTTCGATCTGCCCTGTGCACAGCCTGCACTTCAGCCTAGTTCAGCTAAAAGCTCCCTGAATTTCTTCCATGTGACTTTGACATGCGATTCATCTGAGTCACTAATGGCTTCTGAGTTACACTTAGGAGGGCAGATTTATTTATTTATTTTTTGCTTTATATCGTTTGGGTAGTCCAAATGGTTTATTTTTGGCAAATTGATAAATAAGAAATGTAGAATAGGGGAACTTTGCTAAAATATTTTGATATTAAGCTTCTGTTTTAATAATTTTTGTTAAATGAAGCAGCCTGTCACAGAGGCATTAACTGTGAAAACAGTAAGTAACTGGTCATCTTTTGCAGACTTTTTAATGCCATTTAAACCTGGCAGCAGGTTTTGGGATTCAGACGTTTAAACATATAGACAAGTGGTCAACAAGTGCTGTTAGACTTGTCTTTGCTGGTAGCACTGTATTTGTGTCAAGAAATACCCACAGCCTCACACTCCAGTAATCATTAGCCAGTGAATAGTGTTCTTGCTGCCTGTCACATCTGACAGGAATCACTGCTGCAATTTGGTTGATAGTCTATTCATTACACGTGTGTTCGTATTAATAATTTTTTTTGTTAAGAAATAGAAATGCTGGGATCATCTTTACCTGTCATTTAATTTACTTTCATGAGACATCCATCCATCTATGGAATGGCTGGAGCCTGACCTAGCTGGCACTCCACCAAGAAGGTTCAAAAGTCAGAACGCTGTTGCTGTGGCGTGACAGGGCCACCCCTGTTACATTACAGATGCTGTTGCCTTACTACTTTCAAATGAATGTAATCTGCAGTCTTGTGCCTAAAAGGTATGCAATGCCTAACGCTTAAAAACTTAAATAAAAATAAATAAATAAATAAATAAATAAATAAATAAATAAATCACAAGTTCCAAAGTTACAGATCCATACCAGATATAGACATCAGTCCATACAGTAACATGAGATCAGCAGCAATAACTACTTAAGAATTTGTTCCAATGTGCATACTGGAGAGTTCATTGGTAATCTTTTTATATTATTATTATTATTCTAGAGAAACCTTTTAATTTAGTCAAGCTAAAATAAAAGGTCAATTGAGATGGAAAACTGAACTCAAGTGTTCTGAAGAGTGGAACAGAACATTTTGGTTGACTTGGGTTAAAACGAAAACATTCATAGTATTTAAGTGATCAGCTGATTAACCAAGTTGTATTCTGAACTTTGTCAGCCAGCAGTGAGACTTTTTTTCTTTACAGTCACAGATAAGAAAAGGTCGATGACGATCACTGGAGACACAGGAGATGATAAGAAGTCCCCATCTTCGCTGAAGACATTATAATAACTGAAAGACCAAGAACAACATTATTTGAAACAGTAGAGTATATTAAAGTGTAAACTTGAAAATTTGAATAGCACTGGAGCATATGGCATATCCATTCAGAATGTAACTGTACTAATGTAATGTTTATTATGAAGTCATGCTTGCATTGTTTTATTATTAAGATCAAAATCAATTATGTGTCAATCTGTGTTTCAATACTTTCAGACTTCTCTACCCTGCCAGTATCTGCCTCCAAACTCACTGATTGCTACCACAGGACAATTTTTTTGTTTATTTTTTCCTTTTACAAAAGGGTAACAAATATATATATATACCATAATGATATATGTTTTGTTTTTGTTTTTTAAATGGGCTCAATTATTTCCATTATCCACAACTGTAGGTTTAGCAAGTATGACTGAAGCATGAGGAAAAAATGCATCAGATGGAGTGAATCCAGATTTTGTGAGCTAGTGGGTTTTTCTGGCAAAAGCAATATGTTTGTTAAACTGAGTCAAAATAAACTACAACATGTGTGTTCATGATCATGAAAGAACATGTCATCTACTGCAAAAGACATGTATTGTAGCTCACAGAAGTGTTGTTTTTAAATGTTTTTTTGTTTGTTTTTTGAGAATTGGGTGAGATAGGGAAGAGTGGGGGTAAGATGAGCCAGTTTTTACTTGAGGTGTCTCTACAGTGGGGGCATGACAGTAATGTCTAAAAGTAAAACATGTTCATACACTTCAAGATCTGGGGCATCCCTGGGAATACTTGGTTTGGATCTAAAATAAACAGTTTGTAAATATGGCTTTCCAAAAAACAGCAAGGGGTAAATTGAGCACACACATTTGTGGGAGGTTGTCTCCTGTTTTCTGTATATAAGAACCAATGCTTTATGCTTTTAGTTAATCACTTGTTCAGACTCTGTACTGTACATGTTGCTCCTTGCTGCAAGTAAAACTTCGATTTGACTTAAGAGACGACTCTGTGTATTGATTTGGAGCAGTTAGGACTCCACTGAAGAATTTTCCTAACATTTTTGGCTCTTCGAGCCGGATCCCAATATTCCTCCTTTGGACAGGATTGGGGCCGAAATCGTGCACGGGGGAGTCTGGGACTCCCGAAAGAAAGATCTCTGTCTTGAATTAGATGTTCAGAGAGGCCAGCCACTGCTGTCCGGAGAAGGGTGACATGATTTCAAGAACAAGTTAAGAGTCGTCACAAGTCAAAGGTAGGCCTGGTTTTGTTTTTCTCTTTCCAAGAAACACTCAAAGTTGGGGAGGTAGTTATTCAGTAGTGTCTCAGTGAAACCAACTAGCAGGGGTAACTTAATGGTGGCAACAACCTGCTGGTTTGTGGATACCTAACAGTGGCAACAAAGCAAAGGTTTCACTGATAGGACCAGTTGTTCGGGTGAATTCCATACAAACTGGTTGGCTACTGGAAGGGAACTGGGTTCCTTATATTCCTTAGGAGAATACTGATAAAACTACCAGAGCTGGACAGGTCTTTATGAATCTGTCATAAAAAAAGTCGAACAGGACTATAAGTCTGCGTAAAATTGTTTTTAAAAAGTCAGACAGGACTATAAGACTGCGATTAAAGTCAAAAAGAGACTCATAACAGGACTTAAAGCTGTTGTAAGATGTCTGGTAGGACTATAACCATTAACAGTACTGTTTAAAGAAGTGTAGAAGGGTAGAGAGAAATAAAACAATAAAATTAAACAGTAAAAGAAAATAAGAAAAGAAAAGAAAAATACCATATATAAAATGAGATGTTGTGGGAGTAAACCTACAGGAGATACCAAATGCATGCAACAGATCAGTCCAAAATCAATAAAACAGCAAAAAAAAATGGCAAAAGAAATATGATTTTGAAAGTGAACTAGATTAAGAAAAATGCAAAAAAACAAAATTAGTATGTAAAAGAAAAAGAGAAAAAAGAAGGTTAGCAGGGAGCAAATAACTGGCAAGAAGGGCAAAGAAGCAAAAAGAAGGTAGAGAATAAAGAGAAGAAAAAAAGAGACAAAAACAGAGAGACCAAGTGTTGTTGGAGGATAAGGAAGATATAAATGCTGTCAGCCAGGCGAGGGGAAGCCCCCGCCCAGCTGCAGCGCAGGAGCAGGCAGATCAGCCAGCGCCACAAAACGAACAACAGGAGGGAGCTGTCGGAGGAGTACACAAAGTGCAGACACAGCCTTACCCCATTGCTCCACCTGTCCCTCACATTTACCCCGAGCTGATCAGGCAAGCAGCCCATCAACTTTTACAAATATATTTAGCAATGGATTAGTAATTTAGGCAAAAATACTCATCCATTTGCTTCAGGGGAAGAAATGTTTTGGGCTCAAGATCAACCACAAATTCAACTACAACAGACTGAGATTCTACAAGGCCCAATGATTAAAGTTCCAAATCCAATCCAGGGGACAGTCGAACATCCCCAGGCACAAACCATGTGCATGTTCCACCCATGGACAGTGGATGATATGAAAAAAGCCGCTGAAGGCATAACCAATCACAAAGTTAATGTGGCAGAGTGGGACACAGGAGTCAGAGGACTCGTGCAAAGCTATCATTTGAATGAGCTGAAGTCCAAAGACTTTATGCTCCTCCTCGGACATGATTGGTGTAGAGTCCAAGGAACTTATACTGGCATGACCGCTGCAGGATTTGCAATGCCCCCAGATTCTGTTGCCTTACAAGGAACAATCGACCTGTCCTGACAGCATGCAGAAACACATTCCAGTCCCACCCAGACTGGACCAAAATCACTGAAATCACCAAAGATACAGGAGAGTCAGTTCAACAATATAGAGTGAGACGCCTACAGGTGTTTGATGCACACAGTGGACTGAAGCCACCGGAAACTGCGGATCCAACAGGCCCCTATGAGCAGCAGTTTAAAAATGCACTCATATTGGGCCTTAAACCCCAAATAGCTAACTATGTGTATGTACACATATGGTAACAGATCATACAGGCTCACTAGCCACTGTGCTGCAGTATGCTGAAAACTATGAAAGTTGTTCTAAGGTTAAAGTTAAAAAACCAACAATCCATGAAACATTCTATAGTGAAGCTCCAGCCATGCCCTCAGCCCCACCAATGACCATCTACTGGAAAGACAGACGTACAAGAAACTATAGAGGGAGGGGTAGAGGCAGAGGCAGAGGTAGAGGAGCTCATAGAGGAGGGCCAAGAAATTCACAGTCAAATGACAAATGCTATCAGTGCAACAGAGCAGGCCATTATGCCAGAGATTGCCGCAAAGGAGACAGTAGCGCATGACTAACCAACACATACCTCCTACAAAATCTGAGGTGTGGAAGCAGGAAAATGACTCCTATAAAACAGAAACTGAAAGATTGACTGAAATAGAAGTATATTATGGAACAGCATGTAAAATTCTAAAATGGAAAGTAAAACCAGTGGTGCAACTAAATGTGTGCAAAGTTGTACGTCTTGAACTTTCAAGTTGACAAACATATTTGTGCTACAGAATGGCCTCTAGTATGATAAATATGACGGCAAACAGTGTTTGAAGTGACTTTTTGTGAAGAAATTCACAGGACACCCTGAATGTGAAAAACGACGTTTCAGCGCTCCAAACGCTGTTTTAAGGCAGACGTGTGCTCTTC